GGCAGGACGGTAGTACTTCCCTGGGTGGTTGCAATAAAATGTATCGGTATGCGGATTTAACGTTATGTGATGCCAACGGTATGCGGGGGTCCACTGTAACTGGTTTCCCTGAATCCCTTCACTAAATATTACCCTGCTCACACTCCAACAGCTCGTCAGGTCCCAAATGCCATTCGTCTCCAATCACTCCTATGTAACACGCTCATGCACGCATGCTGGAAGTCCAAGCCCCTCACCCACAAAACCTCCATTACCACCTTCCTCCAACCTTTTCGAGGATGACCCCTACCCTGCCTTCCTTCCCCTACAGATTTAATGCTCTCCATGTCATTCTACTTTGATCCATTCTCTCTAAATAACCAAACCACCTCAACAACCCCTCTTCAGCCCTCTGACTAATACTTTTATTAACTCCACACCTTCTCCTTATTTCCACACTTATTTCCACTTACATTATTGTGCCTACTTCATACACAGAACATTATTCGCCAATATAAACCCTCCTCTCAAACTCCTTGAGAACTACAATAGAACGCACTTCCATAATACAAAACACTTTGATATCCCTTGTGTCCATCTCTCCCTATGCAAAAATGCAATACATATAAAGGGCCCTGAGATCTGGAATTCATTGCCTGAAAATGCAAAGGGGCCCCTGCCTGCACACCAATTCAAGGCACTACTTAGAACTCGCCTCATCTCCCGAAACTAACATTACAAACGCTATATACTGTTGCCACCATCAACCCAAAAATTGCCAAATTTTATAAGATTATTTCAGAACTAAATTGGTCTCAATCTCATTATGTATAATGTGCTAAAATATAATACTGTAACTTGTTATTCAACTACTTGTTAATTTAATTACTTGCTGCTAAACCGCTACTACCTCTGTTGATATATTAAAAACAATGTTCAATTTGAACCAACTATGTTATATATGTCTAGTATTAAGTACTCTGTACAGTATTAGGTTTAGTTTGCCTGAAATGCCTTGGCATGATAGTGGCTTTCTTTTCACTTAGCAAATCAGTTTTGTAATTACACATTGTAAACTATGCGTGGAAATAGACTCCTTATAACATGTCAATCACACATTGTAAACTATGCGTGGAAATAGACTCCTTATAACATGTCAATCACACATTGTAAACTATGCGTGGAAATAGACTCCTTATAACATGTCAATCACACATTGTAAACTATGTGTGGAAATAGACTCCTTATAACATGTCAATCACACATTGTAAACTATGTGTGGAAATAGACTCCTTATAACATGTCAATCACACATTGTAAACTATGCAAAGAAATAAAAATTTGAATTTGGATTTGAATTTGAATCTGATTTTGGGATAACCAAGGATATAAAAATTTTCAGTGATGTAGTTTGTTCTTTAGAGCTCTCATGTGGTGTCAGGGTAGAATAAAAGATAAAGATGAAGATTTTAGTATTCAGAAAGCTCTGCAGGAGGGCCTTGCTTTACGATGCTTCACTAATGCAGACATTTCAGATTATACCCAGATTTTTTTATATGACTCCTGATATGCTCGTACAGCATTCACGCATCATTCTCGTTTATTTACATGCCCCAACTGTTGCACATGTCTTAATCATCAACTTAACGGTGTTTTATACCATTTTCAAAATAATTGCTGTAACATGTTTTCTCTGCTACCACCACTGCCACTGCCACCACCACCAGAGAAACTGTATAATGTTACTGGGGGTAACTGTAGAAAAATATTCCTTTCTTATGCCTTCACTGATAGATAGTATCACTCGCTCTCAAAAAGGTGTTTTTCATGAGAATGAGAGTGTTGCTGTTATGTATTCTACTGCACCAACATGAAGACAACTTGTACACAGTGCAACTTGTTTATATTGTGGTGAAAATGTTTTGCAAACATTTTCATAGTGCAAAATTAACACATTTCAACAGCAAGTATACAGGTATTAATACATGTTTGTCTGACTGCCCTCCACCTGTTCACTCTCAGTTAGTTTACATTTTCTGCATCTCACTCATTCTCTCTCGTTTATTTGTTCACTCTTGTTTACAATGGCACCTAAGGGTAGTTGTGATAAAAAGGAGAATCATAAGCCTCTTACTTTAAATGCCAAGTTAGAAATGATTAAACTCAGTGAACAAGGTATGTCAGTGGCAATAATAATAATACAGTGGACCCCTGAGTTTCGTGAGCCTTGCGCTTCGTGAATTTTGACTTTCAGCAACTTTTTTCCTCAAAATAAAGCCTCACGGTTCATGATTTGGCTCACAATTCGTCCATCGTATGGGAAGCGTCCGTGTGGCTGGGAGCAGCCGGGCATACACAAAGGCTCCTGCACAACATTCAGAGAGTCAGTGTGGCATGACTTATGGGCGAGTGACCATCACCCCACGGGTTCATATGATTCATTTCATAATAGTCCATTGTTTTTTGTGCTTGCAACTGCTAAATAAGCCACCATGGGGCCCAAAGAAAGCTCCTAGTGCCAGCCCTTTGGTAAAGAAGGACAGAAACACAATAGAATTCAAGAAAAAGCTTATAGCAAAGTACCAGAGTGGAGGAGGAAGAGAGAGGAGAGAATGTGCCTTCTTCAGTACCACTATACTTTCATACATTCCCTTCTTTGCCTCCATTGATAACGTTTTTTGTCTCCACATATACCTCAATGCATCACTCGCCTTTTTTCCCCTCATCAATTCTATGGTTAACCTCATCCTTCACAAATCCATTCCCTGGCACAACTCCCAAATATCTGAAAACATTCACTCCTTCCATACTCCTTCTCTCCAGTGTGATATCCAATTTTTCTTTATCTAAATAATTTGATACCATTATCACCTTACTCTTATCTATGTTTACTTTCAACTTTCTTCCTTTACACACCCTCCCACATTCGTCCACTAACCTTTGCAACTTTTCTTTAGAATCACCCGTAAGCACAGTATCATCGGCAAAAAGTAACTGTGTCAACTCCCATTTTGTATTTGATTCCCCATAATTTAATCCCACCCCTCTCCCCAACACCCTAGCATTTACTTCTTTTACAACCCCATCTATAAATATATTAAACAACCATGGTGACATTACACATCCCTATCTAAGACCTACTTTTACCAGGAAGTAATCTCCCTCTCTTCTACACTCCCTAACCTGAGCCTCACTATCCTCATAAAAACTCTTTACAGCATTTAGTAACTTACTACCTATTCCATATACTTGCAACATCTGCCACATTGCTCCCCTATCCACTCTATTATATGCCTTTTCTAAATCCATAAATGCAATGAAAACTTCCCTACCTTTATTTAAATACTGTTCACATATATGCTTCACATTCACTTGTTAGACGAAGAATGAGGGGAGACCTGATCGAAGTGTATAAGTGGAAGATAGGTATTAATAAAGGGGATATTAATAAGGTCTTGAGGATGTCTCTCCAAGAGAGAACCCGCAGTAATGGATTTAAATTAGATAAGTTTAGATTTAGAAAGGACATAGGAAAGTATTGGTTTGGAAATAGGGTAGTTGATGAGTGGAACAGTCTACCTAGTTGGGTTATTGAGGCTAGGACTTTGGGTAGTTTCAAATCTAGGTTGGATAAGTACATGAGTGGGAAGGGTTGGATTTGAGTGGGACTTTCACATCAGAGCTTATTTCTTGGGTAGCATTGAAAATCGGGTTGGGTAAATGTTTTGTTAGTGGGATGAATTGTAAAGGACCTGCCTAGTATGGGCCAGCAGGCCTCCTGCAGTGTTCCTCCTTTCTTATGTTCTTATGTTCTTATGTTTAAACACTTGATCTACACATCCCCTACCTACTCTAAAACCTCCTTGTTCATCCGCAATCCTACATTCTGTCTTACCTCTAATTCTTTCGATAATAACCCTACTGTACACTTTACCTGGTATACTCAACACACTGGTCATCTACATAATTTACCAGGTGAACATAGAAAAGAGTAAGGTGATGAGGGTATCAAATGATTTAGATAAAGAAAAATTGGATATCAAATTGGGGAGGAGGAGTATGGAAGAAGTGAATGTTTTCAGATACTTGGGAGTTGACGTGTCGGCGGATGGATTTATGAAGGATGAGGTTAATCATAGAATTGATGAGGGAAAAAAGGTGAGTGGTGCGTTGAGGTATATGTGGAGTCAAAAAACGTTATCTATGGAGGCAAAGAAGGGAATGTATGAAAGTATAGTAGTACCAACACTCTTATATGGATGTGAAGCTTGGGTGGTAAATGCAGCAGCGAGGAGACGGTTGGAGGCAGTGGAGATGTCCTGTCTAAGGGCAATGTGTGGTGTAAATATTATGCAGAAAATTCGGAGTGTGGAAATTAGGAGAAGGTGTGGAGTTAATAAAAGCATTAGTCAGAGGGCAGAAGAGGGGTTGTTGAGGTGGTTTGGTCATTTAGAGAGAATGGATCAAAGTAGAATGACATGGAAAGCATATAAATCTATAGGGGAAGGAAAGAGGGGTAGGGGTCGTCCTCGAAAGGGTTGGAAAGAGGGGGTAAAGGAGGTTTTGTGGGTGAGGGGCTTGGACTTCCAGCAAGCGTGCATGAGCGTGTTAGATAGGAGTGAATGGAGACGAATGATACTTGGGACCTGACGATCTGTTGGAGTGTGAGCAGGGTAATATTTAGTGAAGGGATTCAGGGAAACCGGTTATTTTCATATAGTCGGACTTGAGTCCTGGAAATGGGAAGTACGATGCCTGCACTTTGAAGGAGGGTTTGGGTATTGGCAGTTTGGAGGGATATGTTGTGTATCTCTATACGTATATGCTTCTAAACTGTTATATTCTGAGCACCTCTGCAAAAGCAGTGATAATGTGTGAGTGTGGTGAAAGTGTTGAATGATGATGAAAGTATTTTCTTTTTGGGGATTTTCTTTCTTTTTTGGGTCACCCTGCCTCGGTGGGAGACGACCGACTTGTTGAAAAAAAAAAAAAAAAAAAAACCTTACTTTTTTCTTTTATAGGTGGCTGACTATAGCCGAGGTTCCCGTGTATCCCTAGACATTAGTGCTGGATCCCCTGTGATATTCTTGCCTATGTCCAGCTCTTCAGAAACTCTTCTAGTTGCTGACCTTGGAAGCTTGACCATCTCTAATAAGTTTCTTTGGGCTGGTTCTAAGGGAACTATTAGCCAGGTGAGTGATGCTTAGCGGTACTAAGTATAATTTTGTTTAGTAACGAAGAATACATTAGGGAACAAGTTAGCTTAGCAACCCCATCTTTAGTAGTGTGTTATTTCATAGTAGCTCACTTTAACAACTTCCCAAAAAATAATAAAAAGTTTTAGATTTCTTGACTGATTTAAAATAAGTCCATCATACATCAAATAATCAAATGCAAGATATCAGTACATATGATAAAAAAAGAGAAATGTAATGGAAATAAAGCTGTATGTATGTATGTATGTAAAGCTGATGTATACATTCAGCATTTACAGATTTATACAGGAAAGACAGTATAAACTCTGGCACAAAGTGAGACAACTCTGAACAACAACAATTTTTTGCACCTCCTTTTGTGTAGATAACCATTCCTTCTTTGGATCTTCCTACCTTGAAAGGAAATGGTCAGTGTAATAAAAAAATCCATATACTGAATATACTGTATTCCCATTTTAATCCTCAAAAAATATAGAAAATACCCTGTTTCCATATTATTGATGAAAAATAAACTCGCGGTTTTGGAGAAATGGGAAAGGTGGTGGTAGTCAGGCTTTATCCAAAGAAGGGAAGAGAAAAGACTTTTGCCACCATCTGTATCTGGCTATATGTAGTTTAGGTTTAAAGGTCACAACAACCTAAGGGCCACATGAACTCAATAATTGTTAGGTTTGAGGGTCATGGTAACCCACTGTATAAACCCATTACTGTAACTGTTGGTTTAACCCTTTGACTGTTTCAGGCCCCTCTCTGAAACTGTCATTCTATGTCGCTCAATTTTTGAAAAAAAAAAAATTATTTTTTCTTATGAAATGATAGAGAATCTTTTCCCGATGGTAATGACACCAAAAGTTCGAAATTTGGTCGAAAACTCGTGGAATTATGCTCCCGCGAAGTTAGCGGTCTCGGCGACATATGCGTATCGGCGATTTCGCCGACTTTGAGCCCAATTTTCAGCCAATTCCATTGTTCCAGTTGACCAAACTCATAGCTATTTCTTTAGAACACCATTTTATCTATGAGCTGAGCACAAGAAACCTCCCATTTACTAATTTGGACTACCCAATATGGTGGTCAGAAATTGGCAATTTGGCCAATTTCACGCAAAATAAAAAAGATGCCAATTTCAAAATAGGGTCCAGAATAAACAAGGTAGACATTCGTGGCACTAAAATAACATATGCTCTGTTCATTAGTCACATCTCTAGGCCCCTTTTATATTATTATTGCTTTCTATTTTGATTTTTTATTCATACAAAAAAACACAAAATTTACTGTTATGCAGACGACTGCATTATTGTAAAAATGGTATAAATAATATCAGTGCACTAGTGAAAGAATATTAGACTCCCCAGTTGATGTGTATTGGACGTGTGGTGTGATTTATTTACTCTTGAACATTGGTAAAAATCGAACATTTCCGCTACTTTGAGCTCAGTTTCAAGGTCGTTTTCATCGTAAATATAATGAAAATCATCTCTATTTCTGTAATATGTTTTCCATTTTATCAACTAAGACCATGAAAACGCGAATACAACGATAAATACTATACGAAAATACACCTCAAAGTCGGCGTTTTATTCCAAAAAAACGTTCAGAGTTTTTTTTTTCTCATTACGCAATGTGTGCTGCAGGATTTTTTTTATGTGGTGCACACTGACCACACAGACCCATTCTCTCACATGTGGGCCTACCAGCTTTCTCCCACTTGATTTGAAGCCGCTAGAATTATTGAGTATATATACGTCAGAAACATTGGCTCGTAAGACGTATTTATACGTCGAAAACAGTCAAAGGGTTAAGGGTTAAAATGTGCAAAGGAGTTGTTCTATGGCTCAGAGAGCACCGAATTCCTTGAATACAATGAGTACCTGTAAATATAAAAGAAACACTACCTGTTTATAAATTCAAGTCTCTTCTCAAAGATCACTTACTCACCCAAAACCAAATAAATACTGAATAACTGAACCTTATAAATTGTATATCTTAAATGTTTCTCACAATTATATCACATAAATGTTAAACCTAAAACCCAATCTAACTTTATTATTTTTTAAATACACTACCTAACAGAATACTCCATTCTACTGAATTTATAACAATGCATGCAACCATATGACCTGTCTTTGTAATACTCACTTGTGCTTTATAGTAATCAGTTTACATTAATGTTTTTCACTGATTTCATCATTGCTTAGTTAATCTTAAGTTAATTTTAAGCCAGCCCGTAATGCTATGCATAGTATAAGTGGCTTTGGCATGCTGCTCTTATCTGTATTTTTTTTTGTACCTCTGTAAGTGTGCTCAAATTATAAATAAATAAATAAAAAAAAAAAAAGACACTATCATTTGAGACTTTCTCATCTCGGATGGTAATTTTTAAAGATGTAGGCATTGTGTTTATCAGTGTGTACTGGTAGTTTTTGACAAAGATTTTTGTTTAAACTTAACAGCTGCCCCCTACCAAGGCAGGGTGACCCAAAGAAAAAAACACATCCACCATCATTCATTAAAATACCATCTTTTCAGAAGTGTGTCAATCAATTTTGTCTTTATTTTAATTTCTTTGCCTTAAGCAGGATTTCATCTTGCAATATGAACAGCATATTCCACTGAACATTGTCTCAGATTGTTCATGTTTGTTAAGGTACCTTCATTGTTTAGGTATTAGCTGCTCTTTATATATTTTGTTCCACTCTTTTCTGTTGTCATATGTTATGAGATGGTATGGATAAACATAGTAAGTCAAAAAGTAACCGAAAATAATAAAATGCTTAATGTATAAATACCATATTTTAGTTACCTTAAAGAAAGGTATTTCATGCTGGTTTTATTACAACATTATCATATAGCTGAGGGCATTGAGGCATGCTTGCAAGATGAGGAAAGAGACTTCATTTAGTGTGTGGTATTTAGGCATACTAGTAAGCTAGTTGTGTATCTTCATACGTATATGCTTCTAAGCTGTTGTATTCTGAGCACCTCTGCAAAAACAGTGATAATGTGTGAGTGTGGTGAAAGTGTTGAATGATGATGAAAGTATTTTCTTTTTGGGGATTTTCTTTCTTTTTTGGGTCACCCTGCCTCAGTGGAGACAGCCTACTTGTTGAAAAAAAAAAAAGTAAGCTAGTTAAATGTATTGCTTCAGCATTGACAATGATGGTGCACTAATATTCTAATAACGTATGAATAAAGCAAGGTACTCTGAAACTAATGTTCTTCTGCCTCTTGATTACTTGTAAAATGGTTCATGGTTCATATTGCTATTTTTGTGTTAATCTTAGCTTCTTGAAGGTTGCTCCATACTCCTAATAGCTTACTCAAGTGTTCAGTATGAAAATTGGCTTCTATTCATGATTGTACTGCTTAGCTAAAGCATTGCAACATAATGAGAATATGCTAAAATACATTCCAGCTTCCTGAATAATAGAACAGTATCTTGATGTAGTGTTTATTATATCTGTATTTCTTTGACAGGTACACCATCAGAATGTGGAGGAGAGAAAAATGAATCTGTGTGGGACGCCTTCCAGCAAGTCCACTTCTAGGTACATTATAAGTTATATTTCATGTATTTAACCCGTAAACGGTCCAAGCAGATCTACATTCACGTGTGTAGTGCTCCAAAAGTAGATCTACATTTTTTTTTACACATTTTCAAATGTAAAAAAAAAAAAGATCTACTTTCTTTACATACTTTCAAATGTTGAAAAAACGTATATATGTGTTTGGGCCGTTTACGAGTTAATAATACCATGTGCACAAATTTTCAGAAATTTTGAAGTGAGATAATAAACAGTTAGGGAGATTCACTGCTAAAGTGGGAGACACAGTTGTAAATGTAAAATGCCAAGAGCAAGGGGCTAGTAACCCCTTCTCATGTATATATTAGTAAACATAAAAAGAGGGGCAACTGATATATTGGATCATTATTTAGTTGTAGCTACAGTTAGAGTAAGAGGTAGATGGGAAAAGAGGAAGGTGGCAACAACAAGTAAGAGGGAGGTGAAAGTGTATAAACTAAGGGAGGAGGAAGTTCGGGTGAGATATAAGCGACTATTGGCAGAAAGTGGGCTAGTGCAAAGATGAGTAGGGGGGGGTTGAAGAGGGTTGGAATAGTTTTAAAAATGCAGTATTAGAATGTGGGGCAGAAGTTTGTGGTTATAGGAGGGTGGGGGCAGGAGGAAAGAGGAGTGATTGGTGGAATGATGAAGTAAAGGGTGTGATAAAAGAGAAAAAGGTAGCTTATGAGAGGTTTTTACAAAGCAGAAGTGTTATAAGAAGAGCAGAGTATATGGAGAGTAAAAGAAAGGTAAAGAGAGTGCAAAAGGAGAGCAGATGATAGAGTGGGAGAGGCACTGTCAAGAAATTTTAATGAAAATAAGAAAAAATTTTGGAGTGAGTTAAACAAGTTAAGAAAGCCTAGGGAAAGTATGGATTTGTCAGTTAAAAACAGAGTAGGGGAGTTAGTAGATGGGGAGATGTAGGTATTAGGTAGATGGCGAGAATATTTTGAGGAACTTTTAAATGTTAAGGAAGAAACAGAGGCAGTAATTTCATGCACTGGTCAGGGAGGTATACCATCTTTTAGGAGTGAAGAAGAGCAGAATGTAAGTGTGGGGGAGGTACGTGAGGCATTACGTAAAATGAAAGGGGGTAAAGCAGCTGGAACTGATGGGATCATGACAGAAATGTTAAAAGCAGGGGGGATATAGTGTTGGAGTGGTTGGTACTTTTGTTTAATAAATGTATGAAAGAGGGGAAGGTACCTAGGAATTGGCAGAGAGCATGTATAGTCCCTTTATATAAAGGGAAAGGGGACAAAAGAGACTGTAAAAATTATAGAGGAATAAGTTTACTGAGTATACCAGGAATAGTGTACGGTAGGGTTATAAATTGAAAGAATTAAGAGGTAAGACAGAATGTAGGATTGCGGATGAGCAAGGAGGTTTCAGAGTGGGTAGGGGATGTGTAGATCAAGTGTTTACATTAAAGCATATATGTGAACAGTATTTAGATAAAGGTAGGGAAGTTTTTATTGCATTTATGGATTTAGAAAAGGCATATGATAAGAGTGGATAGAGGAGCAATGTGGCAGATGTTGCAAGTATATGGAATAGGTGGTAAGTTATTAAATGCTGTAAAGAGTTTTTATGAGGATAGTGAGGCTCAGGTTAGGGTGTGTAGAAGAGAGGGAGACTACTTCCCGGTAAAAGTAGGTCTTAGACAGGGATGTGTAATGTCACCATGGTAGATAGAAATCTTCCTTATGAAGAAAGATTGAAGACTCTTAAGTTACATTCACTTGTTAGACGAAGAATGAGGGGAGACCTGATTGAAGTGTATAAGTGGAAGATAGGTATTAATAAAGGGGATATTAATAAGGTCTTGAGGATGTCTCTCCAAGAGAGAACCTGCAGTAATGGATTTAAATTAGATAAGTTTAGATTTAGAAAGGACATAGGAAAGTATTGGTTTGGAAATAGGGTAGTTGATGAGTGGAACAGTCTACCTAGTTGGGTTATTGAGGCTGGGACTTTGGGTAGTTTCAAATTTAGGTTGGATAAGTACATGAGTGGGAGGGGTTGGATTTGAGTGGGGCTTGCACACCAGAGCTTATTTCTTGGGTGGCATTGAAAATTGGGTTGGGCAAATGTTTTGTTAGTGGGATGAATTGTAAAGGACCTGCCTAGTATGGGCAAACAGGCCTCCTGCAGTGTTCCTCCTTTCTTATGTTCTTATGTTGGTTGTTTAATATATTTATAGATGGGGTTGTAAAGGAAGTAAATGCTAGGGTGTTGGGGAGAGGGGTGGGATTAAATTTTGGGGAATCAAATTCAAAATGGGAATTGACACAGTTACTTTTTGCTGATGATACTGTGCTTATGGGAGATTCTAAAGAAAAATTGCAAAGGTTAGTGGATGAGTTTGGGAATGTGTGTCAAGGTAGAAAGTTGAAAGTGAACATAGAAAAGAGTAAGGTGATGAGGGTGTCAAATGATTTAGATAAAGAAAAATTGGATATCAAATTGGGGAGGAGGAGTATGGAAGAAGTGAATGTTTTCAGATACTTGGAGTTGACGTGTCGGTGGATGGATTTATGAAGGATGAGGTTAATCATAGAATTGATGAGGGAAAAAAGGTGAGTGGTGCGTTGAGGTATATGTGGAGTCAAAAAACGTTATCTATGGAGGCAAAGAAGGGAATGTATGAAAGTATAGTAGTACCAACACTCTTATATGGATGTGAAGCTTGGGTGGTAAATGCAGCAGCGAGGAGATGGTTGGAGGCAGTGGAGATGTCCTGTTTAAGGGCAATGTGTGGTGTAAATATTATGCAGAAAATTTGGAGTGTGGAAATTAGGAAAAGGTGTGGAGTTAATAAAAGTATTAGTCAGAGGGCAGAAGAGGGGTTGTTGAGGTGGTTTGGTCATTTAGAGAGAATGGATCAAAGTAGAATGACATGGAAAGCATATAAATCTATAGGGGAAGGAAGGCGGGGTAGGGATCGTCCTCAAAAGGGTTGGAGAGAGGGGGTAAAGGAGGTTTTGTGGGCAAGGGGCTTGGACTTCCAGCAAGCGTGCGTGAGCGTGTTAGATAGGAGTGAATGGAGACGAATGATACTTGGGATCTGACGATCTGTTGGAGTGTGAGCAGGGTAATATTTAGTGAAGGGATTCAGGGAAACCGGTTATTTTCATATAGTCGGACTTGAGTCCTAGAAATGGGAAGTACAATGCCTGCACTTTAAAGGAGGGGTTTGGGATATTGGCAGTTTGGAGGGATATGTTGTGTATCTTTATATGTGTATGCTTCTAAACTGTTGTATTCTGAGCACCTCTGCAAAAACAGTGATAATGTGCGAGTGTGGTGAAAGTGTTGAATGATGATGAAAGTATTTTCTTTTTGGGGATTTTCTTTCTTTTTTGGGTCACCCTGCCTCGGTGGGAGACGGCTGACTTGTTGAAAAAAAAAAAAAAGAAAAAAAAGAAAAAGAACTTTCGTTTCTTCTGTTTTGGTTAACCCTGCCTCGGTGGTATACAGCTGGTGTGTTGAAAAAGAAATCAAGGGTTTCTGGACATTATAAAAGGAATGTTGCAATTAATGGCATTCACCTAAAATCATGCTTTGTTAGGTCACTGTGCATGTATCCATATTCACTAATGTATTTTAATATACAGCTTTATTTCTTCTCGTAGGTTAACCAAAACTCGATCTCGATCACAGAGCCGTCACCGAGATGTTGGTGTTTCTTGTGCTAGTGATTCAGATGCTGAAGGAGACCATAGAGAGAAAACAACTATAGGGAGCAATTCTGAGTTACAAAAGTGCCTTTTGGATGTAATGTTTATTGACTTAGTAAATATGGATATTTACACAAGCATACGATTATCAAGACAGAAGTCTGAATTGGGAGAGAGAAAGCCACATTCTTCATTCTCAGGAAAGGAGAAGAAAAAGAAGAAGAAAGAAAGAGAAGAAAGCAGAAGTACCAGGGAAAGTGTTGAATGGGTTTTTGGGTCATACAGTGTAATTCGCCAGGGCATTTCCATGCTGCGTGACAAATGTGCTCTCAAGTTACAAGTGGAAAGAAATCTTGATACAGCTCTCGGTCACACAGGTTTGTACTATTTATTTCATCTCCTCTTCATAAGGAGGCTGCTGGAGGCAGTGGAGATGTCGTGTTTGAGGTCAGTTATGGTGTGAGTATCGTACAGAGAATTTGGAGTGTAGAAATTAAAAGGTGATAGGTTACCAAAGGGGCTTGAGCATCCAGCAGGCTTGTTTGAGACTGTTAAATTCAAGTGAATAGAGACAAGTGGTTTTTAATGGACATACTGTTGGTGTGTGAGCTAGGTAACATTTATGCTGACTATCTATTGAATGAGCAGTGGTAATTTTTTTCATATTGCTTCTGAATTTAAAAATAATTTTATACATAAATTTATACTTAACCATTTTATTTTCAGTGCCTGATATAAGTGTTCATGGAATGGTGAAAAAGGTCCATGCCACCATTAATACCTTAGATTACAAATTAATTCGGGGACTTCTAATTTTCAACTTGGGAGAACCTCTTCCATCTGTACCTCTACGCACCCATCTATGCAGCTCACAACCTCAGCAAGTAAGCTCAACATTTTTTTATGGGTAGATTTTTTTTAACCCTTAAACTGTCCGAACACAGATCTATGGTTGCACGCGTAGCGCTCCAAACGTAGATCAACGTTTTATTTTTCATTCCTTCAAATTTGGCACAATAGGCTTGAGTCATCTAGACATGAAAGAATGGGTCTGCGCACTCACTGTGCGCACTATTAAAAAATCTGGGAGCACTTAGTACCTTGTGGAAGCACCAGTTCAATTGAGCGCCAGCTAGAGCAAATAGCGTGGCAAACACCAAACACCAAACACCAGGGATTCACTGATGCCATGTCGCATTAACACTCCCATTTTAAGAGGAAAGTAAAAATAGGTTAAATAAATACATGAGTGAGTGTGGGTGGGTGTGAGTTGGACCTGACTAGCTTGTGCTACTAGGTCTGATGTCATGCTCCTTCCTTCAATGGATGTGATGTGACTAGGTGGGTCATTGGTCTAAGCTGGGGGGGAGTGTGACATGTTCCTGCCTTGCTTGGGCCAGTAGGCCTGCTGCAGTGTTCCTTCTTCCTTATGTTCTTATGTATTCAGCAGGCAGGCTGGCCGGCTGGCTTGCTTTGGTTGTCTTTGGCTGTCTCTTTGTGTATATCTCTATCTGTCTATATCTCTGTCTATCTATATATCTATCTATATCTCTATCTATATCTCTGTCTATCTATATACAGTGGACCCCCGCTTTACGATCAGCTCCCAATGCGACCAATTATGTAAGTGTATTTGTGTAAGTGCGTTTGTACGTGTATGTTTGGGGGTCTGAAATGGACTAATCTAATTCACAATATTCCTTATGGGAACAAATTCGTTCAGTAATGGCACCTGAACATACTTCTGGAATGAAATAATATCATAAGCCGGGGGTCCACTGTATCTATCTATATCTCTGTCTCACATTTACACATAAGTACAGTTATTATACATAGTGTAAATTACCTCAGATAATCCAAAAATTCCAGGCAAAGATAGACAGACAGACAGATAGATAGATAGATAGACAGAGACAGACAGAAACATGTTTGTGTGTATCAGTGAAAACAAATAAAGCCAGGGTTCCCCCGAGCACCCATTTATCAAATGTCACCGAGCTGATAACAGATGTCATAACACAATTCTTCAAGGAGTTTGATATACTATGCTCCAGGCAGGTAGAAAGACAGATAAGCAGAGACAGACAGACAGATACAGACAGAGACAGATAGATAGGCAGACAGACAGACACAGATACAGACAGATAAATAGACAGAGAGACAAGACATGTTTGTGTGTAACAGTGATAAGAAATACAGCGAGGGTTAGCTGGAGCAGTGGGCATTTATCAAATGTCACTGGGCTGTCAACAGTATAGGGATGCCTTTCATAACAACATGCTTCAAGGTATATGCCAAGGTATCTAAAACATTGCTGGGACCTATAAATACTTTGTATATATTTCTAGACAATAGTAAATAACCTAAGCAGGTGTAAATGTTCACCTCTCAATGTGATTGTGACTATTTGAGCACTATTTCAGTACCTAATATAAGTGTCAGAACAAAGATTGGCTATGAAATTACAAGAACTATTATAAATTGTAATTATCAGAACATAAAAAATATATAAATTAAAATAAAAACGAGAAAAAAACATGTATCAGCAACACTTCTGCAAGCTGCAGGAGTCGATGTTGCCGATAGGTGAGCAACCAGTGCCAACTTCATGGTCTTATATCTCGGTAAGTACTGACCCTAAAATTTTTATTTTAATTCTATGACATGTAGAAAAATGTGCTCTTCATTTTAAAAGAAAAATATTTTTTTATTTTTCAAAATATTTTGAGCGCCATGCGAGTGAACGTAGATCTACATCTGGACAGTTTAAGGGTTAAAGTGCAGGCATTGTACTTCCCATTTCCAGTACTCAAGTCCGGCTATATAAAAATAACCAGTTTCCCTGAATCCCTTCACTAAATATTACCCTGCTCACATTCCAACAGCTCGCCAGGTTCCAAATACCATTCGTCTCCATTCACTCCTATCTAACACGCTCACACATGCTTGCTGGAAGTTCAAGCCCCTCGCCTATAAAACCTCCTTTACCCCCTCCCTCGAACCTTTTCAAGGACAACCCCTACCCTGCCTTCCTTTCCCTATAGATTTATACACTCTCCATGACCTTCTACTTTGATCCATTCTCTTTACATGACCAAACCACCTCAACAGCCCCTCTTCAGTCCTCTGACTAATACTTTTTATTAACTCCACTCCTCCTAATTTCCACACTCCGAATTCTCTGCATAATATTTACACCACACATTGCACTTAAACAGGACATCTCCACTGCCTCCAACCGCCTCCTTGCTGCAGCATTTACAACCCAAGCTTCACACCCATATAAGAGTGTTGGTACCACTATGCTTTCATACATTCCCTTCTTTGGCTCCATAGATAATGTTTTTTGTATCCACATATACCTCAATGCATCACTCACCTTTTTCCTTCATCAATTCTATGGTTAACCTCTTCCTTCATAAATCCATCTGCTGACACGTCAACTCCCGAATATCTGAAAACATTCACTTCTTCCATACTCCTCTCCAATGTGATATCCAATTTTTCTTTATTTAATTCATTTGATACCCTCATCACCTTACTCTTTTCTGTGTTCCCTTTCAACTTTCTACCTTTACACACACTCCCAAACTCGTCCACTAACCTTTGCAATTTTTCTTTAGAATCTCCCATAAGCACAGTATCATCAGCAAAAAGTAACTGTCATTTCCTATTTTGTATTTGATTCCCCATAATTTATTCCCACCCTTTTCCCCAACACCCTAGCATTTACTTCTTTTACAACCCCATCTATAAATATATTAAACAACCATGGTGACATTATGCATCCCTGTCTAAGACCTACTTTTACAGGGAAGTAGTCTCCCTCTCTTCTACACACCCTAACCTGGGCCTCACTATCCTCATAAAAACTCTTTACAGCATTTAGTAACTTACTACCTATTCCACATACTTGCAACATCTGCCACACTGCTCCCTTATCCACTTTATCATATGCCTTTTCTAAATCCATAAATGCAGTGAAAACTTCCCTACCTTTATCTAAAAACTGTGCACATGTATGCTTCAGTGTAAACACTTGATCTACACATCTCCTACCCACTCAAAAACCTCCTTGCTCATCTGCAATCCTACATTCTGTCTTGCCTCTAATTCTTTCAGTAATAACCCTACCATACACTTTTCCTGGTATACTCAGTAAACTTATTCCTCTTTAATTTTTACAATATCTTTTGTCCCCTTCCCTTTATATTAAGGAATTATACATGCTGTCTGCCAGTCCCTAGGTACCTTCCCCCTCTTTCATACATTTATTAAACAAAAATACCAACCACCCCAACACTATATATCCCCCTGCTTTTAACATTTCTGTCATGATCCTGTCAGTTCCAGCTGCTTTACCCTCTTTCATTCTACGCAAGGCCTCACGCATCTGCCCCACACTCACATCCTGCACTTCTTCACTCCTAAAAGATGTTATACCTCCCTGGCCAGTGCATGAAATTACTGCCTCCCTTTCTTCATCAGCGTTTAAGAGCTCCTCAAAATATTCCCACCATCTGTCCAATACCTCCATCTCCCCATCTACTAACTCCCCTACTCCCCAGTAAAAGTAGGCCTTAGACAAGGATGTGTGATGTCACCGTGGTTGTTTAATATATTTATAGATGGGGTTGTAAGAGAAGTAAATGCGAGGGTCTTGGCAAGAGGCGTGGAGTTAAAAGATAAAGAATCACACACAAAGTGGGAGTTGTCACAGCTGCTCTTTGCTGATGACACTGTGCTCTTGGGAGATTCTGAAGAGAAGCTGCAGAGATTGGTGGATGAATTTGGTAGGGTGTGCAAAAGAAGAAAATTAAAGGTGAATACAGGAAAGAGTAAGGTTATGAGGATAACAAAAAGATTAGGTGATGAAAGATTGAATATCAGATTGGAGGGAGAGAGTATGGAGGAGGTGAATGTATTCAGATATTTGGGAGTGGACGTGTCAGCGGATGGGTCTATGAAAGATGAGGTGAATCATAGAATTGATGAGGGAAAAAGAGTGAGTGGTGCACTTAGGAGTCTGTGGAGACAAAGAACTTTGTCCTTGGAGGCAAAGAGGGGAATGTATGAGAGTATAGTTTTACCAACGCTCTTATATGGGTGTGAAGCGTGGGTGATGAATGTTGCAGCGAGGAGAAGGCTGGAGGCAGTGGAGATGTCATGTCTGAGGGCAATGTGTGGTGTGAATATAATGCAAAGAATTCGTAGTTTGGAAGTTAGGAGGAGGTGCGGGATTACCAAAACTGTTGTCCAGAGGGCTGAGGAAGGGTTGTTGAGGTGGTTCGGACATGTAGAGAGAATGGAGCGAAACAGAATGACTTCAAGAGTGTATCAGTCTGTAGTGGAAGGAAGGCGGGGTAGGGGTCGGCCTAGGAAGGGTTGGAGGGAGGGGGTAAAGGAGGTTTTGTGTGCGAGGGGCTTGGACTTCCAGCAGGCATGCGTGAGCGTGTTTGATAGGAGTGAATGGAGACAAATGGTTTTTAATACTTGACGTGCTGTTGGAGTGTGAGCAAAGTAACATTTATGAAGGGATTCAGGGAAACCGGCAGGCCGGACTTGAGTCCTGGAGATGGGAAGTACAGTGCCTGCACTCTGAAGGAGGGGTGTTAATGTTGCAGTTTAAAAACTGTAGTGTAAAGCACCCTTCTGGCAAGACAGTGATGGAGTGAATGATGGTGAAAGTTTTTCTTTTTCGGGCCACCCTGCCTTGGTGGGAATCGGCCAGTGTGATAATAAAAAAAAAAAAAATAAAAAAAAATCTATTTGTTCCCTAGGCTTTCTTAACTTGTTTATCTCAACAATATAACCTGTATAAAGATCTGTTATTTCCTGGTCAGTGATATTTATGAGCCTTAAGAGAGTAGTTAACCTTTTCTCTATATGTGGGGAGCAGCATTTGAGTTGCAGCATAACTGTTGTCAAGACTTACAGGTTTCCCAGTCACTAGCAAATACATATAAGCCATTCAGATGTTACAAGAGTTGTTAACCTCTTTGCTACCAGGGGGTCATAACAGCTTGTACAAGAAAGTTAAACACAAATTTAAGAAAACTATGTTGACTGAGGTGTCAGTAAAATGATCAGGATGCTCAACAAATATGATGCAATCACTTTAGTTTTTTGTTTGCAAAATATTTTCCCCACTTGATGATAATTGCTATTATTTCTAAAAAGTACAATAAATTTGTTATAAATTTTGGAAAAATTACAATTCAATAGAGATGTTTTCTACAAAATCCCATTATACACAACATTTTAAGCAGACCTATAGCTAATATGTTTTACAAAGTTGGAGTTGACACTTGTAAAGAAGTTTGTATAAAAACATTAAAGATGCCTTTAGTAAGAATATGAAGAAAAATAATGGTAACACAATATATAGTAGTATGAGCTGAACCATTAATGAAACTAATAAAGAGTATTGTATTATCATTATCTCATACTTTAAAATGAGCAACGTAATAAGTTTACCTCTAAAGTATCTAGTGTGCTCTGTAAAAGCCCATTTTTTGTGAAAGATGTTCTTTAATAATACAGTGGACTGCTGCCTTACGAACGCATTGCGTTATGTTAAATCCGCCATACGAAGCATTTGAATGCAAAATTTTGCCTCGCCTCACAATAAAAAACTCACCTTACGTGATTCGTCCGGGATGCATCCCACATGTGGCCTCAGCACCAGTGTTTACAAGCCAGCCAGTGTGGTCGCATCTACGCATACATTCGGTACATTTCACATTATCCCAGTGTTTTTAGTGCTTGTAACTGCAAAATAAGTCACCATGGACCCCAAGAAAGCTTCTAGTGCCATCCCTGTGGTAAAAAGGGCGAGAATTAGGATGGAATTGAAAAAAGAGATTTAAGGAAATGTGTGCAAAGTGGGTTGAACTGCAAACCTTTACGGATGAAAATCACCCTGACACAGCTACTGCAAGCCGTGTTGGCAACCTATACAATGACAATGTTATGGCCCATTTTAGGAAAGTCTTAAAGGAACAGGAGGTACAGAGCTCTATGGGCAGATTTGTTGTGCGACAGAGGTCCAGTGACTCTCAAGCTGGTCCTAGTGGCATGAAAAGAAGGGAAGTAACCCCGGAAAAGAACTTGCTACCTCAAGTCCTAATGGAAGGGGATTCCCCTTCTAAACAATAACTTCCACACACTCCCCTCCTCCCATCCAATCAATCATCACCAGATCTTCGATAAAGGTAAGTGTCATGTATTCTATTCTTAGTAGAGTAGTAATTGTGCATGTCTTCTACAGTTTGTGTGTATTAAAATTAATATTTCACGTGGTAAAATTTTTTTTTTTATACTTTGGGGTGTCAGGAACGGATTAATTTGATTTCCATTATTTCTTGTGGGGAAAATTAATTCGGCTTATGATGAGCTCTCAAGAACGGATTAATATTGTAAGGCGGGGGTCCACTGTACAGTGTTGATTTTGCTACAGTCATCACTGTCTTTTTGGTTCTTTGCTTTTCTCTGTAAACATGTGACATTTTTATTGACATTAACCTTTCATTGTATTTCCTCCTAAAGAAATGCTTGAAATATGAGCAAAAGCTTTGTTACCTGTTTGATTTTCTATTTAACATGTCAATCATATGATAGGATGAGTGAATCTCTCTTAAAGGAAGAAAATAATTCAATTCTGATTCATTGTTTTAATTGAGGGTATGTACAGTATATCGTACCAGTCGACAGTTTCGTTTATGCTGGTTATTTTATCTGAGATTTCGTAATTCATATCCATTGAAGATATTGCATTAACTGTAAACAACGTAAAACTTCGCATTTACAATTCACTCACTGTATTGTACTTCCCTTACTGAATCACCAAAGAACATTATAAGGTCACAGGTGCATAGCCTGCATCCCATTTCTCATATACAGTGGAACCTCAAAAATCGAACTTAATCCGTTCCAGGAGCTAGTTCTAAATTCGAAAAGTCTGAAATTCGAAGCAATATTTCCCATAAGAAATAATGGAAATACAATTAATCCGTTCCAGAAACCCAAAAATATTCACACAAAAAATACATTTTATAGAAATTAATTACAGTTTTACATACAACAAATACTATAGTTTTTAATTATGTATAGTAATACATATAAAATAACATTTTTACTTACCTTTATTGAAGATTGGTGATGGCATCTGGAAGATAGGGAGGAGGAGAGAGGGAGTTGGGGTTAGTGTTTGGAAGGAGAATCCCTCTCCATGAGGACTTCAGGTAAAGCCCTCTCTGGGGTTACTTCCCTTCTCTGTCTTTTAATGCCATTAGGACCAGCTTGAGAGTCACTGGACCCCTGTCTCGCAAAATAACTGTCCACAGTCTTCTGTTTCTGGTGCCTCTTTAACATTTCCCTAAAATGGGACATGGTTCTGTCACTGAACTTGTTGCAAAGATGGCTTGTTTCAGCTTGCTCAGGGTGGTACTTCTGCACAAATATTTGGACATCATTCCACTTGGTACAAATCTCCTTAATCTTTGAAGAAGGCACCTCATCCACTCCCTATATTAACACCTTTCGCAACATCAGCTTCCTTGATTTGTTCTTTCTTTGACAGGATAGAACCGATGGTCGACTTGTTTTTCCCATACATCCTGGCAAGCTCAACAAGTCTCACACCACTCTCGTACTTCTGTATTATTTCCTTCTTCACATCTATGGCGTTTCTCACTTTCTTTACCACAGGGGTACCACTAGCAAGTTTCTTTGGGCCCATGGCAGCTTATTTCAGTTCCACAAGCACTAAACACAACGAAATAATCGTAAAATGCGTGAATGAGAGAGCAGGTTAGTGTTCACTCAAGCATAAACAAAGCTAGACTGCTCACAGCGCCTGTGCGGGGACGCGGACAGAGCGGGCGGCAGACAGGTCCCGTACCCAGTGGTCCGAAAATAGGGGCGCGTTCGATAATAGGGACACAGTTTGTCTGAAAAAATAGTCCTATTTTCGAAACGTTCGATATGTGATACGTTCTATTTTTGAGGTTCCACTGTACTGTACTGAATGTGAATAAATCTCAGCATAGGCTCAAACACTGAAAGGCAGTTGTGTATCAGTATATGAGGAAAAAACATTTATCCTTGTATTGACCTTGTGAAACCCTATGCTGCTGGTTCTTCACATTTCTTAAGCAATTAAAACATTAAATAATAAAAGCTGTATCTTCTTAGGCAATGAAAAAATAGTATTAAATAATAAAATATTGCAAACTACCATATTTACTAGCATAACAGAGGGAAAAATATTTTGAGTACATTATTTTGTTTTATTCACTTATACTAATGTGTATGATATATAGATATCCACCAGTTGCAGGACAAAAGTCTCTGTTTAGTAATTCTCTAAGGTTCTTTGTGTCACTTTTTTTAAATGCATATGATGCACTGAAAAATCAAGAGGTAGCAGAGATACATTGTTAGTTTTAATTGCTTAATATACTTACTATTCTAGTTGAATACTTTGTTTTATAGTGTTATTAGTGTTATGGTCTTAGGAAAAGAATAGGGATGGCTTGACAGTTATTGCAAATAGAAACAATGCAGAGGTGTTAAGTACAAAGTTATTTTTGATTGGGAGATGCATATTGGATAATCATAAATCTACATTGGGAGGTCCATAATAAATGATGGCAAATCTATTAAGTAAATAATTAATGCCATAATCATTTCCTAATTTATTTTCAGCAGTGGCACTCGCTAGAATCTGTTTGGACTTCTCTGAGCATCATTCTCAACTTGGACAATGTGACACTTGAGCTAGAAAGCAGTGTTGAGGAAAACAATATTTGCTCCCCTCTTGCTTGTATCAATTTCATCAGTTCCAAACTGACCTACGAGAGCTTCTCTGATGAGTCCAAGGATGTTGATTTGGTCTCACAAGAAATTTTGATTAGTGACACCAGATTTGAGGGTAAGGGGAAGTCCCAGTGTAGTACTATCAGTATATTTGTAATTTACATTCAAGTAATTTATTTGTACAATTGTATTTTATTTCATTTTATGGTTATGCAATTAAGTTGTAATGAAATATGTTCCATTCAGGGATATTTTAAATATTGATGTTTGTCTGACAGGTTTTCCAGTGAATAAGCGTTCCAATATTTTCACCAATATTTTGCAACCTACACCATCAAAGAGTGCAAAAAACAGCAGCCAACTTCAAGCAGAGGTTCATTACAGGTACAGTATTGATTACAAAGTAGTTTCTATGGAAAATATAGTTTGTACAGCACTGTATATTATAGCTTTGGATGATTATAATATTCTGTATAATAATAAATATGAAGCACAGGCACATAAAATTGTAGAGCAGAGAATAAACTTTTGTTAATTTAAGGGTAAAGTTTAGTTACTGCCCAAATGATCTCAACTCCTCTTCTGTCTTCTGAAATATCTTTCAAAACCCTTTACTCATTATTCTAGAAATTAGATGGCAGAATGAGATTATGAAAGGTAAAGCTCAAAGTGAAGAGGAAGGGTTAGTGTGGTGGTTTTATTTATGTTGGGAGGATGGAGCAATATAGAATGGGTAGAAGAAAGGTGCAGTAGTGGTCATCCTAGGAAAGGTTGGAGAGAGAGGATTGAGCATTCATCATGTGTATGTCAGCATTTTTGATTGGAATGAGTAGAGACAGTCTTCCTAGATATCATGACATATTAACTATTCATCTGTTTTATCAGTGATACTTTTTTATACACAAAATTTTATTGTTCCTTCATACATTAACTAACCCCCTCACCTACACATTGAACATGATATACTACATGCACTAGGCCCAAAATGATGGTAAAAACCTTCATAATCAATCAGTTTTTTTTCTTGACAGATCAACAAAAAATGTGACTAGATTTACAATTTTGCTGAACAATATGCGTTTAATGGGTATCCTGGACTGGGGGATGGAAGTTCTTGATTTCATTTACAAGACTCCTGATGACCCTTTCCATAAAGGTTTGTATAAACTTGCAACATTCTTAAAAACAATTGTGGATATGAAAAAAGGGAAAGCAAGAATTGATTGTAAATTTCTTAAAAAAAAAAAAAAGAAAAATGAGGAAATGTTCTGGGGGTCTTAAGTTCTTACATTGAATATATTGCATAAATATATTTTAGTTAGTGGTTGTACTGTTGACAGGAGAAAGAATGGATGAATGCAAATATTATACTTTATCATATGAAAACTAGTGTGGCCTTTACACATTGCATATCTGATGTTTAATTTTTCAGAGTTTTATTCAAATGAGCAAACATTTAATGGAAAACATTTTATTTGACTAAAAATTATCAAAATATAGTTGTTTGTAGATTTTTAAACATTAGCAGTCATATTTATAATTTGCATTCAATTATTTAGCATGTGTAATTGTGTTCAGTATATTTTTATCTACAGAAATAAAAAGTGGAGAAAATTCTGTGGGAGACCATGGTGCATCCAGCACTGCTGGAGTTAACCCATTACTCAGCCCCTCATTTGGTCATTCCTCTCATACACAAGCTGCACAGCCTCAGTCTCCTAGGTCACACTCACCTGGACTATCCTTTCCAAGGAACAAGACTGTTAGGTGCACTACACCTAAGATAAACCCTATGGTAGAGTCCACAGGGGTTATGACTAAGCATGCCATTATCCAGGAACAAAATAAAACACCATTTGAGCTGAAGTTAAACATTACCGACTCAGAGCTGGTGGTAGTGGAGAACACAGCTGTGTGGGACACCAATGCTGTCATTCTTAAGGTAAATTTTTTACTTTGTAAATATAAATACAGGTGGGGTCACCATGAGTATAATTCAGACTGCTGAGGAAGGGTTGTTGAGATGGCTTGAGTAAATAGAGGATGGAAGGGGATAGGCTGATATAGATGGTGTGTAACTGGGTGGAAGGTTGGAGGGGAACAGGTAGAGGGAGGCAATAAAAGAGGCTTTCGAGTTGAGGGACTTGAGCATCCAGAAGGCGTATTTGAGCATATTAGATGGGAGTGAATGGAGACAAATTGTTTTTAATAGTGTGCTGTTTGAGTGTGAACAAGGTAACTTTAAGAAGGAATTCAGAGAGACCAGTTAGCTGGACTCAGGTCCTGGAGGCAGGAAGGGTTGTGCCTGCCCATTACTCTCATACCTGTGTATGATAGTAATGTTGGGTAGTGACCATGATGATAATGTTGGGTAGTGACCATGGTAGTAATGTTGTGTAGTGACCATGTTAGTAATGTTGTGTAGTGACCATGTTAGTAATGTTGTGGAGTGACCATGATAGGAATATTGGGTAGTGACCATGACAGAAATGTTGGGTAGTGACCATGATAGTAGGGTTGGGTAGTGACCATGATAGTAATTGGGTAGTGACCATGACTAATGTTGGGTAGTGACCATGATAGTTATGTTGGTTAAAACAAACCATACCAGTAATGTTGGGTAGTGACCATGATAGTTATGTTGGTTAAAACAAACCATACCACGGGCAGGGATAGAACCCGCGATCAGAGAGTCTCAAAACTCCAGACCATCGCGTTAGCCACTGGACCAGCTAGCCACAATAAGATTCGTCCAACTAGGTATATTTCTACGCCATAGGAAGGTTAGCATAGGCACCACTGTGACCACAAAGGCAAGTTTTTACAGACGAATCTCAAGCTAGCGTGGCCGTGGCTCAACTCTAGCTCAAGTCCCCTCAAAGCCGTTAACATGACTCACAAAATCGTAATGACACGAGTAATGTTCAATGACTATGATAATAATGACCATTTTATTTAAAATGTTTATATGGCCATATTAATAATGAAGATTGTAAGTATTGCTTTACTTACTGTTTAAATTCTAGAAGTCATTTTGAATGATACCTCAGTGTAAATCTAACTTAAGGAAGCTGTCTTTATTTAATTTTGTCATTAAAACTGAAATTACAGTACCTAAATTTCTTCTCTTCAGAGCACAGCAGTGATCAGTTACCGACCACATCACCAAGAGCGACCACTGTCATGCAACTTAAACCAGTGTGAGTTATACTCCTGCATCCTAGGTCTTGAAGAAGATACTGCACTCTCCATAATAGACCCAGTCACAATCAACATAGAAGTCAGTGATCGACTGGGTCATAAGCAACTAGTGGATATATCTAATGTATCCATGTCAGTTCAACACACTGTGGAAGTAAGAATTACATCACAGTATTTTCATTTGCAATAAATATTTCATTACATAAAGATTTTCATGCAGCAGATTTTGTTTATATGGTATTGAGAGTGTGAATAATTTATATGGTTGCACTTAGACAAGCAGTCATTTATGGCATTATTTTGTTTGTCATATAAATTTCTATATAGCACACTACCTCTTCTTAAACGATTCCACCTATCTAACACTGTAAACAAATACCTTTAAGCATCTTTTCTTCACTTTTTCTGTAATTTGAAATAGTGACATCTATCAGTTGAAACTTGGAACACCCACTGAGCCAGCCTTGCATGAAGGAATGTCCACTGAGCCAGCCTTGCATATAGAAACACCCACTTTGCCAGCCTTGCATGAAGGAACACCCGCTTAGCCAGCCTTGCATAAAAGAACATCCACTGAGCCAACTTTGCATAAAGGAACACCCATGAGCCAGCCTTGCATGAAGAAACACCCACTGAGCCAGCCTTTCATGAAAGAACACCTACTGAGCCAGCCTTTCATGAAGGAACACCCACTGAGCCAGCCTTGTGTGAAAGAACACCCACTGAGCCAGCCTTGCACAAAGGAACACCCACTGAGCCAGCCTTGCATGAAAGAACACCCAATGAGCCAGCCTTGCATGAAGGAACACCCACTGAGCCAGCCTTGCATGAAGGAACACCCACTGAGCCAGCTTTGCATGAAGGAACACTCACTGAGCCAACCTTGCATGAAGGAACACTCACTGAGCCAACCTTGCATGAAAGAATACCCACTGAGCCAACCTTGCATGAAGAAACACCCACTAAGCCAGCCTTGCATGAAGGAATGCCCATGAGCCAGCCTTGCATGAAGGAACACCCATGAGCCAGCCTTGTTGAAGGAACATCCACTGAGCCAGGTTTGCATGAAGGAACACCCACTGAGCATGCCTTGCATGAAGGAACACCCACTGAGCCAGTTTTGCATGAAGGAACACCCACTGAGCCAGTCTTGCATGAAGGAATACCCACTGAGCCAGTCTTCCTTCATGATTGCGGGTTCTATCCTAGCCCGTGGTATGGTTTGTTTGCAATCGTGTCATTATGATTTTGTGAGCCAGCCTTGCATGAACTCGAAGCATCCACGCAACTTGTTATCATCATATGCACTTGTAATACTCTACTGTATTTTATTAATATCTGTAAGTTTCACATTCTCAGAGCCATGGTTCTCATCTTGTGTATGGTATTAAATTTTTATGAGTCAAATCTGTGTGGGGGTACCTAGAATTACAACTTAGTATTGTGAGGCTGTGTTCATTTTTACCTACTGGAATTTCATTGAAAAGCAAATTGCATATTAATTTTGTACAAAATGCATCCCCTATGAATACAGTGAGATTACTATATATCCATATACAGTTTAAACAAACTACTAATGTCTCAGAAATGTGTTGCCACATGGGATGGCAAGGTAAAGTGAAAGATACAGCTTGTTAGCTCAGTGAAGTGAGAGAGAGACAGACACACACACAGACACACACACACACACACAGACACAACACAGACACACACACAGACACACACACACGACCACACACACACAGACACAACACACAGACACACACACACACAGACACAACACACACACACAACACACACACAGACACACACACACAACACACACACAGACACACACACAGACACACACACACACAGACACACACACAGCACACACACAGACACACACACAGACACACACACAGCACACACACAGAACACACAGACAACAACAGACACAACACAACACACAGCACACAGACACACACACAACACACACACAGACACACACACACACACACACACACAGACACACACACAGACCACACACAACACACACACAGACACACACACAGACACACACACAGACACACACACACACAAACCACACCACACACAGACACACACACAGACACACACAAGACACACACACAGACACACACACAGGCACACACAGACACCACACGACCACACACACAACCACACACACACAGACACACACACCACACAGACACACACAGAACACACACACAGCACACACAGACACACACACAGACACACACACAGACACACACACAACACACACAACAGACACACACACGACACACAAGACACACACACAGACACAGCACACAGACACAACACACAGACACACACACAGACACACACACAGACACACAGCACACAGCACAACACACACACCACACACACACACACACAGCCAGACCACGACACACACACACACAGACACAGACACACACACACACACACACACACACACACACACACACACATACATAGCTTTAAGCAGAGGTATGATAAAGCTCACGGCTCAGGGAGAGTGACCTAGTAGCGATCAGTGAAGAGGGGGGCCAGGAGCTCGGACTCGACCCCCGCAACCTCAACTAGGTGAGTACACACACACAGAAACACACACACACAGACACACACACACACACACAGACACACAGACACACAGACACACACACAGACACACACACAGACACACACACAGACACACCACAGACACACACAGACACACACACAGACACACACAGACACACACACACACACAGACACACACACACACACAGACACACACACACAGACACACACACACACAGACACAGACACACACACAGACACACACACACACACACACACACACACACACACACACACACACACACACACACACACACACACACACACACACACACACACACACACACACACACACACACACACAGTAGGGACAGCGAGCGGGCTAGTCACCGTCGGTGCTCGGGGATTTAAGTGTTTTTGAGGGCTACAAGTGTTCTGCAAGGGTTGCTAAGTGTGTCAGGGTAGTCAACAATCCTAGAAGTGTTTTTTTTAATTGCCTGAGCCACACAAGTGTGGGGAGAGCCACAATTTTGAAAGTGATCTGGAAAATAAAAGCGTTGTGGCGCAGGCTAGTGTGAAGGCGGCGTTGCCAAGTGTCACCCAAGATTTTAATAAAGTGAAACATAGTGTGACCAGTGAAAGAAATACAGTGAATAGGGTACATTATTAACGAGAAGAAATTGAGGTGGATCTACGCCAGGACGTACATCGAGCTGGATCTACTCCAGGACGTCACATCGACCTGGACAATCTACACTGCTACAGCTGCACTACAAGTACTGTATCACCTATGAGTGGTTGTTTGGGTGTGGGGTCCAGGTTCCAATTTAACCGCCAAGCTGAATGTGAATGGTCTAACTCTCATAGCACGATAAAGAATAGGCACTCAAGTATTCAATTATGTTTAGCAAATGGTAATCCATTGAACAAGGCGATTAACTCACTATAAGCAGGTGATACAGGCAACACTGCAAGGGAGTCAGGTCACAAGAGGTTGTGGACACAAGGACAACTGAGAATCTACATTACACTCCAAGCACAAGCCACCTACTTTTCAGACACATAATAAACCCACACATAATTCGACACATAATTACACACACACACACACACACACACACACACACACACACACACACACACACCACACACCACACACACACACACACACACACACACACATACACACATACACACACAACACACACACACACACACACACACACACACACACACACACACACACATACACACAACACTACAAACTACACATACAACACACACACACACACACACACACACACACAGACACACACACACACCACACACACTGTAAGTGCGGTAAGTCCCAGGAGGTTGGTCAGGTCACAAGAAGGTGTGGGCAGCCAAGGACCACTGAGACTTACCTTAAACGCACAAGCCACCTACCTTTCAGTACATAATAAACCCACACATAATTCCACACATAAATTCCACACACAATTACACCAAAATTCTACACACACCACACCACACACACACACACACACACACACACACACACACACACACACACACACCACACACACACACACACACACACACACATCAGACACACACACACTCCCCCCTCACCACCGACATCTCACTACTTCCCCTGATCCATCCCCTCCCTCGATCACCCTCGCCCTCCCCCGTTCACCCCAAACCCTCCCCCACCCCCTCCCACTCAGCTCCCAATAGCCACAGTTCCTCCACTACTTCCCCCCCACACTCTGACACACACACTACTAACCTAACATACAGAACTACATAGGTTTCCCACTCTGAGGCAATCAGGATAAAACAAAAATGGGTTGCCAGAGAGCAACAAGAAAAACCAAGGGACAGGAGGAGGAAAATGCAAAGGAAGATTGGGCAGCAGAGCTCATAAAAGGGATCATGAATGGGAAAAGAAACTAGAAGAACTTAGCATGAGAAATGGAAGAGAGGATAGATATGGAAAGCAGGAAGTGGGAGGTGCATGTCAAAGCAGCAGAAGCTAGGATACAGAGTTTAGAAGAGGAATTGAAAAATCTGAAACAGCCTAAAGAACTAAAGAACATTTTGGGATTGACAACAGAGACTGCTACCTCAGCACAAATAAGGGGACTGTAGGGAAAGAAGGGGCACAACTGCATGGAGATGCTCTATCAGAGGAGACTGTAGCAAATGAAAGAGCTAAGCTTTATGTGGAGGCCCCTAACAGACAACAACAGAGCCCAAGGAAAGCGAGAAGGGAAAATGACAGGCCACTGAGCCCAAGTACATTAGCCAGTGAAACTGATGAAAGGAAAGCTGCAGTGGAGGAAACCAAATTAAATGAGGGGATACACAGGGATATGCAGTGGGAGAATGAAAAGGGTGAGGTCAGTCTTTGTGTATGGGCTCCAGAAGTCGAAGGGGAAACATATGGAAGCAAGAAAAAACAAGGGGAAAAAAAAGCAATTGAAAGCATCATGAAAGCAATAGGAGAAGACGACATGACCCAGCTGGAAAATTTTTTGGAGAATAGGGGGGTTTGTAAAAAAAAGAACCGGCCAGTGAGAGTGACCTTCAAGCAGAAGCGACTCGGACCAGGATACTGCAGGAGAAAGCACGATTAAGGGACATGACGGCATACAGGAGGGTGTATCTCGACCGCGACAGAACACAAGAAGAAAGGAGAAACTGAGAGAGATGGTACAAAGGCGAAAGGAGGAAAGAGAGGGGATGGAGAAGACAGGCAGAGGAATCCCAGACCCAGGAAGAAGATCTAATACAGCCTCCCTCACAACTTTCTATAGAAGCCTCCCAACCAGGTCAACCCCAGTGCAACCAAACACTCTAAATCCAAAACACCCATGCCACATCCAATGCCCCCACCCACTACATTACAAACTTCACCCCCACAGCAACAACCCATAGTTCCTTACCAGGTCTCCCACTTCCCCAACCCCAATATACTTCCCAGACCACAGTCTTAGAAAAGAAGTTGAAGGTGTGGTTATACAAATGCAGATGGAATAACAAACAAGTATGAGGAGTGGCACGAAAGAATCAAAGAGACATCCCCAGACATAATAGCACTCACAGAAACAAAACTCACCAGAATAATAACAGATTCAATCTTTCCATCCGGATATCAAATCTTCAGGAAAGACAGAGGGAGGAGAGGGGGAGGAGGAGTTGCACTGCTCATTAAAAACCAGTGGGGTTTTGAGAAAATGGAAGGAATGGATGGCATGGGCGAAAGGGACTACTTAGTAGGAACAATCCAGTCTGAGGGACATAAGGTGATAATTGCAGTAATGTACAACCCACCACAGAAACTGCAGGAGGCCAAGAGAAGAATACGATGAGAGCAACAGAGCAATGATCAACACACTAGCCAAGGTGGCCAGGAGAGCACACATGGGGGGAG